GGAATAGACATAGAATAGCTTGGGTGTTGGGGGTGGGGCAATACTCAAGAAGGGCGAGGGGAATGGAAGAACAAGGCAGATGGGAGAACAGTTAGGCAGGTTTGCATGGGCTAAATGGGACAAAGGCAAATAATGATGTATGCACAACCTAGGAAAAACAGGGCTCTGGGATACATGGCATGGTTTAAATGGGTGAAAGAGGGAAATGAGATTCTTGGCTGTCTTTTGATTTTTAGTTTTCTTTGCTTACCATTGTAAAATAAACACTTGAGTGGGAGAGAAAGAAATAGCCAGAAATGTCACAATAGAAAGCTTTTAAGTCTGTCTTCAGCTTATAACTGATTGGAACTCCTTAAAGGGGGCTAGATGTTGCCCAGTGAAAGAGGCTTACTGTGGAGCCTTTGCATTGCATAACACCATAGGTGAAATCCTGAACCCCATCCAGAATCTTCTGAGACGGGAAATTTCCATTTGAAAGGAAAAGTAGACCAGCCTGGTGTGGCTGGTAGAACAGAAGACACTTCCTGAAATAAAAGACCGGCAGGAACAATCAAAAACAATAATAGCAGTCTGATTGACTACTTTAAGAACAATCAAGCTGTTCACCCAGGAGCCTTGGGTCCCCTCAGAGCAAATACCCTTCCAAGACTAAGACTCAAGGGGACTACAAGAACGGCATGGGGAGAAGAGACTGCTAGAGCAGCTGCAAGCCATTGGCCAGTAGTGGCCTGCGCCTATGGAGTTGCCCCTTCTCCGCGCTCCTGCCTCGTACCTCACTCTCCTATCCACTAGCAACTTAAGTCAAGATGACAAAGTCCGTGGCTGCCTGCCAGCCTGTGGTATCTCCACCATGCACCACTCCCTGGGGTCGAGAGGGAGCCGCCACACGGGGTCCGGAAACACTTGGGAGAAGGTGGCTTGGCCTTGAAAGCAGTGCGCGCCTCCTAACTCATGGTTGTCACCGCCGCTGCAGCCAGACAGGTCGGGCTAGAGTTACAGGGCAGTCGCTCCAGGCGGGCGGTCATGGCAGGAGGCGCCGAGCTGGGTGGCTACCGCAGCGGACACAACCCACGGGGCCACCATGCCAAGTCCCGGCGGGGGCGGCCCCGCGCAGTCAGGGCGAGGTGCCGCGCACTCTAGCCCTGCGGTCACCTTCTCTTTCTGGTCATTCTGACAAACACCCCGGGGCTGGGAGTTTGGCTGCCTGGTGCAGGGTGGGCGTGTGCGCAGCTGCTGCTCGACTGGTGAGAGGCCCCTGGCATCAAGAGAAACATCGTGGTGGAGTTCTTCTGTGGCCTCTTTCAAAGTGCTCTGGGCGTTTGTGCTGGCCACTTCAAAGTGCTCTGGGCGTTCCTGCTGGCCGCGGCGCGCTGGCTAGTGCGGCCCAAAGAGAAGAGCGTGGAGGACCAGGTGTGCCTCATCACCAGCGCCGGCAGCGGCCTGGGCTGGCTCTTTGCTCTCCAGTTCGCCTGGCGCGGAGCGCTGCTGGTGCTCCGAAACATCAACACGCAGAGCAAGGAGCAGACGGCGGGCATGGTGCGCTACATCTACTGGGAACTGGAGGCTGCTGACACCTTGGCGCTGCAAGCTGAGGATGGCACTGATATATTTAGAGGCTGCCGAATCAGGAAAGAAATCGAGCCTTTCCTGCCCCCTCTGAAGCCCCATTACTATGTGAAGCAGGCCATGCAGGCCATGAGAATGTCAGTGAGACATGCGGCTCATGTGCATCATGACCTTCATGAATAGCCCCCTCCCTTTCGAAGCAGTTGTGTGTATGTATCTGTTCCTTGGAGAGGACAAGAGTATGTACCCCTTTATTGCTCAAAGAAAGCAAGCCACAAACATTAATGAAGAAAAAATGGAGTCTAAAATTTTTTTTGGATCAAAATGTTTCAATCCAATGCACATCAGCATTACTGACAGACATCCATCCTCTGGATTCTAAGCCCATGTTGACTTTCTTTCTTTCTTTTTTTTAAATCAACTTAAAAAATAATAAAGTGTAAATTAACTGAATAGAGTACTGGGAAAATGTGATCAGTGAAAATGAAGTTAGATTGTTGCCAACCAGGTCCTTTTAGAGAGAACCCTAAAACCAATCAAACCTTTAGGCATGCACTGTGTGGTATCTTCAGACTACCATTATCTTTTGTAATGAACAGATAGTCTAAAGATGACAACTACTGTGTGTTTCATGTGTGGTGTTTTTCTCAATTCCCTTGGTGGTAGTGGTGGTTATGTGCCATGGAGTCGGTTCTGACTCATAGCGACCCTGTACAGGGTTTCTGAGGCTGTAAATCTTTACAGTAGTAGAAAGCCTCATCTTTCTCCCGAGGAACAGCTGGTAGTTTCCAGTTGCTGACCTTGCAGTTCACAGCCCAATTCGTAACCACTGCACTACCAGAGTGCCTTTCAAGGACTAATAGTGCTGTGTTTTCTCTTGTTTCCTAAACCACCTTTGTGGCCTTTTCATAGTATTTGTGTGTTCGGCTCTTTTTAAAAAAAGGATTTTCAATCTCTATCAATTTGAGGTAAATAATATTTGAGTTTTATAATAAAAGTAAGTAGGTCTCTTTTAAAAATCATAATAACTAAAGCATTAGCCGAATTTTTTATTTTCTCTCTTGAAATATTTCATTAAGTGTCTATTGCTCTGGAGACCTAATCCAAAAAGCCCACACATTTTCTACCTGTGAATTTTACTGCATACTGAAAGTGCCCTTTCCTCAGGAAGCTGCTGTGTTTCATGTCTTTTGATGGATTCTTAGCTAGCTCAAATATCAGCTCCACAAAGAAACCATTTATACCTAGAAAAGTCCCCATTTTGGTGCCAACAATGATTAGTGAGGGGGAAAAAAATCATATTCTATGGAGTATGTATGTTGTTGCTGTTGTTAAGTGCTGTTGAATCTATTCCAACCCATAGTGACCCTGTATAGGGTTTCCAAGGAGAAGATGGTGAGCTTGAAACACCGACCTTGCAGTTCAAATGACTTTGCAGTGTGACACATTAGCCCACAGTGCCACACCAGGACTCCAAACATCCATACATACTCTATGGAAGGGTATAAAGAGTCTTTTGAAAGTTTTGTTCACATTGTAGAACAGCAAATGAGATTTTTGCAGTTTTTTTTTTTTTTTTTTTTGTAAAGCAAACTATTTTGTGCCTTGAATTTGGTATATGTGTATTAGTGAAACATTGTAAAAGTGAACTACTACCTCTGTATCTAAATGTATACCATCCACTTATAAATAACTATAAATTATTACGTGACTGCTGTGGTTATTTTTTTGTTTTTTTTTAAAGAATGTCTTCTTTAAATAGTGACCAATGTTTAGGGCTAATAAAATAAGCCAACTTTTACTAATTAATTGGGAAGTTTTATAACGGACTGATTAAATTTAAAAAATTAACTTAAAAAAAAGAAAAAAAGGATAGAATAACCAGAAAGACACTCAACAAATACATAGAGGAACTAAACAACACAATCAACCAACTTGACCTCATAAATGTGTACATTCAGTCCAACAACAGCTATCAATATACATTCTTTTCCAGTGCACATGGAACATTCTCCAGAATAGACCATGTGTTAGGCCACAAAACAAGCCTCCATAAACTTAGAGACATTAAAATACTACAAAGCATATTCTCAGATCACAATGTTATAAAATTAGAAATCAACATTAAGAAGACCAAGGAAATAAAGTCAAATATATGGAAACTGAAAAAACAAAACAAAACAGCCTGCTTAAAATCTACTGTGTAGTAGAATAAATAAAAGGTGAATTTTAAAAATTTCTAGAAACAAATGAGAATGAAATAACAACTTACAAAAATCTTTGGGACACAGTAAAAGCAGTGCTGAGAGGACAATTTATTGCAATAAGTACACACATCCAAAAAGAAGAAAGAACCAAAGTCAACATATTCATATAACATCTCTGACAATTAAAAACAGGCCAGTAAAGGAGTCCTGGTGTGGTGCTATGGGTTAATGAGCCAGACTGCAAAGCCGTTTGAACTGCAAGGTCGGTGGTTCAAGCTTACCAGCTGCTCCATGGAACCAACTCGACAACACTTAACAACAATAACAAAGTAAACCTAAGAGTCACCAGAAGAAAGGGAATTATAAAGATTATACCAGAAATAAACACGGTAGAAAACAGGAAAACTATAAGAATCAACAAAACAAGAACAAGGTTCTTCAAAAATATTAAGAAAATTGACAAACCGTTGGCAAATCTAACAAAAGAAAAGAGGAAGAAGACACAAATAGCATGCATAAGAATAGCACAAGGGTGATGTCACAATGGAACCAAAGGAAATTAAAAGGGTAATAATAGAATATTATGAAGAGCTGTACTCCAACAAATTTGAAAACTTAGAAGAGATGAATACATTTTAAGAACAATATGACCTAAAGGAGCTCTGGTAGTGTAGTGGTTACAAATCGGGCTGTAAACCACAAGGTCAGCAGTTCGAAACTACCAGCTGTTCCACAGGAGAAAGATGAGGCTTTCTGCTCCCATAAAGATTTACAGCTTCGGGAACCCTGTATAGGGTTGCTATGAGTTGGAAGCGACTCCACAGCACATAACAACAACAACAACCTAAACTTAAACAGATTGAAGTAGAAAACTTGAACAGAACTATAAGAAAAGAAGAAATTGATCAGACCATCAAAGAACTCCAAACCAAAAAAGGTGCAGGTCCATAGGGCTATACTGGAGAATTTTATCAAACATTCAGGGAAGAGCTGTAACCAATTCTACTCAAATTATTCAAGAATACAGAAAAAGAAGGAAAACTTGCTAATTAATTTTATGAAACAAGCATAACCCTCATATTAAAACCAGGGAAGGGCATCACTAAGAAAGAAATTTATAGACCAATATCCCTCATGAACATAGATGCAAAAATTCCCAACAAAATCCTAGCCAACAGAATTCAGCAACACATCATAAAAATAATGCATATGACCAAGTGAAATTCATATCAGGGGAGCAAGGATGGTTCAATATTAGAAAACAATCAATGTAATCCACCATATAATTTTTTTTAAAAAAGGAAAAGAAAAACATTATCATATTGATTGGTACAGAAAAAGCATTTGACAAAATCCAACATCCATTCCTGATTAAAAAAAAAAAAAAAACTCAACAAAGTAGGAATTGAAGGGAAATTCCTCAACATAATTAGAAGCAGAATCGGGCTGTTAACGTCAAGGTCGGC